AGGAGGCATATAGGTCTATATGACTTAGGGAGCTGCTTATCCCTACCTCTTCCCTTATAGTGGAGTCTCAAATCAGCGATCTTCCATTTTTTTGGGAAGTATCCCCTATCAGGGCAACCATTGAATAGCCGTCAATAGCCGATCTTCTATATAGGGGATACAGTTTTTCTAGATCGTCGCATCAATAGCATCGAGTCCTGGTGCACGACCAGCTTCCTGCTTATACACAGCAAAACGAAGGTCATATATGTCCCATGGTGAGCAAAAGTCCGTGCCTGGCGGGTATATCGTGGTGCATCTCACAAAAGCGTCCTCCTTATTGTTCTGGGACGTTTCATCCCTGGGATAAGTCGCTCGTATGAAGATACTAGCTGCCTCCTCAAGGGTAGTAGCTTCAACATCTCCATGCTTTAAGGCAGCCATTGGTTGTAATGGAGTCAATTTCCCCAGAGCCATTTTATAAGGGATACCCCAGAGATTTTTTGCAGACTCTTCGACTATAAATCCATCCCAAGATCTTCGCTTCCATGAGCACAACTCGTTTCGATATACCTTGGCCTTTGACTTATACTCGTTACGAAGTGAAATGCGTCTCTTGTCACATCTACACTTCTGATACGACCGCCGAGCCTTATTGAGTTCTCTCTTCAGCGTTGTTAAGGCCGGCGTCCACCATGGAACAGGTCGAACTCTCGCCTTCCGGTGCTAGAGAGAATTTTCAGAAGCATCACAAATGATATTCGTAACTCCGGACACTCTATTGTCCAAATCATCTGCTACCTCAAATGGCCCCACTTCCCAATCCTCATCTGCCATTTTTTCCTCCAGCATACACCGGAAGACACTCCAGTTGCTTATGCGGGTTACATAGCCCTTTTTGATACAGCGGGAACGCCTGAAATCCTGTTCCAGACTAAATGCCAGGACCTTGTGATCGGAACTCGTTTCAGAATGGAGAGCCCAATCGAAAAGTTGTCCAGCGAGTATTGGTGAGGCCAGCGTAAAGTCAATCCAACTCTCTCCCATTCCCCCAGAGAAAGTCGGAGGCGCATTGGCATCGTTGAAAACGACTAGTTCGCTTCTCGCGATGAACTCACCGAATATTACAGCCTTCTATCCGTTCGATTGAATCCCCAGACCGTGTTCCAGTAGTTGGTGTCTGAGCATACAATCACATTCCTAGTGCTATTTGTGATCGTTTCTATGGCAGATATATCTTCTTCAATGTTACCTCCGTTAAGTAAGTACACCGAAACCAGCGTAACGGAGACGTTGCCCCACCTAATATAACATGCTACGCTATCTGCCGTAGAGTATTGCTTCAGATCCATCATTTCATTAGAAAAGTTAAATAATGTTTTGCCTTTCTGATATTAGTAATCGTCAGAAGTCTTTAAAAGTCCACAATTTAAGTAGGTTAAACCATCCTGGCTAACCACTAGGCTTAACCTAACCTGGAAATTTCGAACTTGAAAATTCAACAAAATTTAGTTTAAAACAAAAATGAATGTAAAAACACTAAAACACAAGTAACGAAATAAGGAACACAAAACCAAATCAATGGACAACAAAATAAACACAATGAAAATACAATAATTATAACAAACTCGTAATCAACACAGCGCCTTGACTATATCCAATTTGTTTACAGAAAACTAGCTGATTTACCCGTAATTGGCGGATGTATAGTTAAAATTTGAGGATCTTTTTTTTGTGATGGATTTTGTATTATGGAGGGAGATCCCAATTTCATTTGATAAAATTGGGTGGTGGGCTTAAGGAAGTAAAGGTTTCGCAATAGTCATAATAATAACTTTGTTATTCGGCTATTTATTAAGGTGAAACACAATTAAACCGACCACCACCGATCCATTAACAATTTTTAAGTGTTAATTTTTATTTACGATGAAGCGAGGAGATCGTGGATTTGATTGAAATAATCAAGAGTTGTAGTTTCTCCACTTCTGTAAAATCTACTGTGTTTGTCGCTGGCATGATAACCAAAATAACATTGGACATTGAGTCACTTATATCTGTGTAATTAGAACTTGATCTGAATATTGTGGCGGGCGGAGTAAAATTTTTGGGAGTTTTTTTTCCGATTTGCGGCTAATCCGTTTGTTTAATCCTAAAAATGTATACGAAAGCATTTTTTAGGCTAGGGAATTTAATGACACTATCGGATAAAGTTGAAAAAATTTTAAGTTTTTAAGTGATAACGCGTTGCAGACGTTCGGGACTTGTGATGCTGTTGATTTGTGATAATTTTTATCCATCATTTGAATTGTACAACTTTTAAATATTGCTCGCGGTAGAGTAGGTTGGAATGAGAATTGATATAAGTAACTGCCTAAATGAGATCTCTAGATAAATTAAAATTATCTCTATAGGCATTATATTAAAGGGATCTCTAGACAAATAGCCGAATAACAAAGTTTTTATTATGACTATTGTGAAACATTGAATTCCATGTTTCAAGTTAAGCAAACTGTAGCGGTTTCCGCTGTAATAATAACGGCTCTTGGTATCCGGTTTGGTCTTGGCGGAATGAATACCCCAGTCAAACCTCAAGTTGTCAGTTCTACGGAGCTCCATCCCTTCAGGATGTAGACCTATATGCAAATGGTCAGTACATGTCACATATACTCATTTGGTTCATCTTAATCTACTCTTGTCAATTCACAATAACCTTTTACCTTTTTCCTCTTCTCTTACTCCATGCAAGTTGGACGCTGTTCCGTCCGCTTGCAATCCTATATACTGAGTCTGGAGATTGATCCTTCCGTTAGTATATCATCCTCCCACAAGTCCGGAGATTGATCCCTCCGGTTGTGGTTACCATCCCTGCGGAGTGTTAAGGCTGATCCCTTACACCGCGGGCCTAGAGTTATTGGGTGCTGATCTGCCTGTCATTCGAGGCCATCGATCTATTCATCTTCCTTCAACCAATCAGTCATATTTACTCCTCTTAACTGAACACGCACTGTCAAGGCATTCTGATAACTTGCATATACTGCCTCTCTGCATATATATACCTCGACAAAACCTAAATATAATGAAAAATTTTCAAAAGTCTACCATTAGCCATTGCTGAGCTTACCCCTGACAAAATTTCATTGGACAATCCGGACACACAGACAACAAATTAAAAACAAATTTTTTAAAAGTAAATTTGGTGTCTGTTATGTATGAAACGGAAAGATATCATGGAATGGATTGCTTCTATTCAAGGTACTGACAAAACATTTATTTTATTTATATACATATTACAATCTCAAAGGACATTTATAATAGTGTTCAGAGATCACATTCACACTCTATTTACAATAAATAAAAATTAATTAAACAGCAAAATAATATATATATATATATATATAGATATATATATATATATATATATATATATATATATATATATATATATATATATATATATATATATATATATATATATATATATATACATATAAGAATAAAATAACTTAAAGATAAATAATAAAATAAATAAAAACAAAAACACGTACGTAACTATATACACTATTTACAATCAGGTGAGGGAACTCCGATCCATACTTGTTTCTCCAATTGTGGAGGGCAAAAACACGAATCCCTACACTATTCTCTCAGCAGCATCACTGGGGTTATACCCAGTGGAGATTGAGCGATAGCGCTTCAGCCACATACAGTCATGTCGTGAGAATATGGCCATTGCCAGAACCTCAATATATGCAAACTATACAAGATCGCATGGCAACTGCCACTTTAACCTTCTTGGACGATTATAGGAATGGGGGGGGGTGCTGGATAGCGATTGTGCAAGGGAATTCATATTGCTAAGGTTCTGGTGAAATTTGAAGAATTATTCTGGAAAAAGGTCTAGGACAAATAGGATATTAAGGTCATGATGTAGGGTTTTGTTGGTTACATGCACCAGAGTGCACTTCAAACATGTCTTCTACTTTACTACTCATATAAGATAACTTTGGAGGCAACGCCATCCATAATCATCTGCATCAAGTTTATTACTTTCATGAGGATTCCATTCTTTCTAAGTATTTTCAACAAATTAGACCTGTTGATACTGCCAAATGCCTGCTTTTAGTCGATAAATAGGATTTGTGGGTTAATGTCATATTCATATGCGTTTTCCATTGCTTACCGCAGAACAAAGATTTGGTCTGTGGTATTTAACCAAATCTGAATCCACATTGACTCCTCCATAGTAGTTACTCAGTGTAACTTCTGAGCATTCTAAGGATTATATTAGAAATCACTTTGTATAGTGCTCCAAGCAATGTGATATCTCTATAATTTCTGCATTGATTTTGAGTTTTTCAATAGGCTAGATAGCCAATGTTACATCTACTCTATTTGGACTTTCAATAAGTGGTTGTGAAAAGCATATCAAATTTTCTTCCTCCATATCATCATTCTGCTCTATGTTCAGCAATTCGGAGAAGCGTTCATTCCATCTTATCATAATTTCTCTTTCTCCGCACAAAGCCTCGCTCAGTATACTTTTACAATTGTTTAATTTCGGTTGATATGCTTTCCTGAAGTATAATATAATATACTAAAGTATAATAGTCCCCCACGCGACGTCGCCATGGTGTAAAGTTCGAATTAAAAAGAATTAGGTAAACTAAAATATTTATTTACTAAATATACAAATTGTAATATTTTGTTAAATTAAAGTTTAGAGAAGTCAATTTAAACTATTGAAATCATCAGATTTTATTCGAAATACTAAAAATGTTTTGAAATGTTGATACAACTACATAAATTTATTAGAAATTTTGCACTGATTTTTGAAACTGTTTGGAAATTTATATTTTGCTCCTCCCAAAATATTGCTCTAGAGACTTAATTCTAGCTGCCATTTTGGTTTTATTATTATTTATATTTATATCAAAATAATGGATTCTTTGCTTTCAATTTATTTTTAATATTAATAAACAAGATGTCTTTTCTTGGAAATCAGGTGGCATTGGCCATGTTATCACAGCGTCCTACCAGATTAAGTTTGTTGGTGGGCCATTGTTGCTCTGGTGCTTAGGGAAGTAAATATGATTGTTTTATTATGTGAATTATCTATCGTTAACCACTTGTCAACGTGGTGGCATGGTTTATATCTTTTCAACGAGAAAGGATAAAGAATTATAATTGAAAACACAGTATTGTCAATTACATTTAAAGTTAATGGATATTGATTTTCCTTTGGTCCAGCCTTGTTTTGATAAGGTTCATACTAAATTTCGTTTCGACTTGCTTGAAAGTTAACTAAGTTGTATAATTAGCTGATTTTAATTGTTGGAAACACGATGAAGAAGGTTTTAAGTTTTGTAAAAGGAAAGAAGGAAGAGAGAAAAGAAATAAAAGTGAATCCGCCCATTTCTGTTGAGATCACAAATCCATCTGGACAAAAAATTACAAGTGATGATGAGCATATAATTGGTTTGCAGCAAGCGTCTGGTTATAATATAGATGTTAATGGGAAGGATAAGACACTGTCTAAAATTCATAAAGCAGCCTGGTTTGGTAATTTAGAAAAAGTTAAGTTGTATTCAAAGAAAATTGATGTTAACTCTGTTGACTGGAACAATAGAACCTGCTTACATTTGGCTGTTGCACAGGGTCATACTGAAGTTGCCTGGTATCTTTTAAATAATAATGCTTCCATGACAATTTGCGACAATGATGGTCTCAATCCATTTTTGAAGGTTCTTTATATTTCTGATCATTCCATTGATTCTGGTTAGTTAATTAATTGTTAATTCACTTTCTATTGTGTTTCTGTTAAGGCCATAGAATGTGGGCACAAGGATTGCACTAATCTTCTTATTGAATGTGGTGTTGATGTCAAGTTATCTGATAAGCATGGTAACACAGGTCTTCATTTTGCTGCAAAAGCAGGTTTCTACAATATTGCAGCTTTGCTATTGAAAGAAGGAGCTAATTTTAATACCCCTAACAATGTAAGCATTATTCTTGTTTATAAGTTGATTGTTCAAAGCTGAGTTAATTAACTTGCACAAGCTAAATTATAAAATGTTAGAAAAAATAGAAAAATGCCTTATTATAATTTTTATTTTGTAGTTTTTAATTCAGAATATTGTGCAATTATTGGAGTTATGATTAGGTGTGGTTGTGAAATTTTAATCTTTTTTGTATTAACTTATAACAATGTTTTCTTCTCTAAATCACTTGAAAAATTATTTTATCATGCATTTATTTGAGTACTAACTTAAGACAATAGATTGGTACAATCTACAGTATAACTGGAATGAATTCAATTTTTTCTGATGTCTAAATTAGTTTCTACAGTCCTAATTTGTAGCCTGGTCGACGGGTCTTAAGTACATTTATCAATTATTCATATTAGAGTTGTGTAAAAAAAAGGTTAGATGAAGAAGTCGGGGATTTTAAATTTTTTCATTATTTAAATAGATTCATGTCATCAGTAGTTAACAATGAGCAAAACTGACAAATCTGTCATTTTCATATTGGTACTTGGTATATAATGGCAGAAACATCACTTCCAAATTATTTTCTTCCAACAATTATTTTTGAATGTGAATTAGCTATACTATTTGGTGCTGAGAATGACTGAGTTTTGCAAAACATTGAAAAGTTGGCTATTAATGTGGGTATGAGGTTTTTTTTTGTAATCTTGCAAAGGCCGTGTTAACTTCAGATATAGCTTTTACAAATTATTCTCTGATGCTGACTTAATCTCCACTTGAATATACTTATATAGCAGTTTGTAATTACAAAACTAAATTTAACCCGTTGTTTAAAATTGAAAGGACGTGATGATCGTGCATAATGGGGCCAAAGTTTCAGACTGCTTGGTTCTGAAGATTGTGGATTCGGTTCCCTACTAAAGTAAATCTTGACACTTTCACTATGTTTATTCCTGGGTGGCAACCTCTAAATAAAAAAAACACCAACAATAGTTAACAAAAATTACGACATGACACACTTTCCAGACTAGTTCTCTCAAATACCAATAGACAAAGCCTCAAGTTGATAGCAATGAACTTTTCACCTATCATGTTGAAAATTATAACATAAATAGGTACTAGTTCACATAAATTCCACACGGATTACACTTGCTCATGGAATCCCAAAAACTCCCGAATACTGCAGTTTTTTATGACGTCAGCTGTTGTCCCACCAGACAATCTCTTATCATGCATTTTTGAAAAGAAAAAAAAAATGTATTCCTATCATAGAACTTCTTTATTAACAAATTATGTATTTACTAATTTGTTAATTATAATTTTTATTATAAAGATTATTACTTTGAAAGAAGAATATATATAAAATTATGTTTGAGTCGTTCTTCAAGACCTGTTAAAAAAAAAAAACTTATAAATAAAATTTTTATTGACATGTGCTTACATGTTGTGGCTGTAAATACACATATAATGTTGTATATTATCTTTTCTAATATCGTTTATTGCTGTGTATAAAAGATTTTTTTATCATTTGGATAATAAATAATCTGAAGTTAGAATAATTGAATTTATAATTTATTTCAGCAAGCCTTTTTTAGAATTGCGCGATCATTTATCTAGTTTATGTAACTTTTTAGATTTCTAATGATATGAGGGTCCACTATTTTCTAGTCGTCAGCTTTTTATGAATTTGCTGTCTGATTTATAATTGTTCATCGAACTTTTGTAGCTTTTTGGATACTAAGTTGTCAAGGACACTTTTTATGAAAATAATGTCAGATTAAAGATTATGCGAGAAAAGTGGGCAATATTAATAAATAAAATGTATCTATTAATCGTTTTATAGATAAATATTTATTCCAATAATGTCCAATGCCAATGGGACTCATAGATCTGCATGTTAGTTAGACTATGCTGTTAACTTAAAATTGTTCTCATTTTAATCGCTATTATTTTTATTGAATGAATTAGCTGCATAATTATTGTTATACGTAATTATTTTGCATAGTAAAGCAAAAATGGAGATTTATTATAATCATTCGAAAAAAAAAAAAAAATTGTGTTAATTTTTGAGGAAGGAATTAACGTATTGTAGATACAACTAATAAAGAATATTTGATAATTCCGAGATAATGAATAATGGAAATCATCAATAAGAAAAATAATATCCTGATATAGCATTCAGAGATATATTAATTAAGGGTTTTTATCTATTACTATTTCTTTTCCACAGCTTTATAATTTATGAATAAGTTCAATTAAGATTATATGATCTAGCCTGAATTTCGAATATAAGTCAGCTCCTACTGTATAACTAAACATGAATAAGGTTAAAGAAGTACTTAAATGGCGGGTAAGTTAATAGTTACTGACACAAGAGATCGGTCGCCTTGGTACCCTTTCGGATAAACCTGAATGCATTCGGAACTTCATGAACAAGTATGACCGAAGTGATTGTGAACGACGCACAATCCATGCGGAACTCATGTGAACTAGTCCCCATAAATATATTTACATTCATTCATTCGTCTGTATATTTGATTGGATTTTGTTTTTATTTTTTAAATAAAAATATAAAGTCTTTTAAGCTTTAACTTTCAGAGATTTAATTTTACTTTTGAAAAAACATATTTATTTCAAATTTTTCTTTAGGCTGGAGATTATCCATTACATCTGGCAACTAGTTTTGACCACAGGGAAATGGTAGAACTATTAATCAGGAATGGAGCTAATGTTGATGTTGTAGACAGAGAGGGACGTACATCTCTTATGTTGGCTGCTAGATCTGGTTTAAATACTATAATTAAGGTGCTTTTGGATGCTGATGCTTCGTTGGAAATAGTAGATTCTAATGGTGAGCATTAAACAATTTTTTTCTCTAGTCATCTAAATGAAAAATATGACATAAATCCTGACTTAAGTCGTTAGGGGTGAAAGGAATGTAAACAGCCTGTCTGCTGAAGTGTTATCAGTTATGGTAAGCTTATGCCTGTACTGTAAACAAAGTTTGTGAGGTCTTAATTGATCTACAAATGTTGTGATTTAGTTTTAAAATGCCAAATTGAAGGGAAAATGCTGAGTTGCTGGATTGTTTGGTTAAAAATGCTTTATTAGAAAGCATGAATGATGATTCAGAAGGCAAAGAACTTGAAAAATACATAGATGAAATCCTGAATGTCAAGTCAATGAGGTATAGTATACATTTTCTTCTTGGATCAGTGAAGAAATCTTCTCATTGGTGCTAGGAGGTGTTGTCCGGGGGATGGATGATACCAGATTCAGGCAGATGGTTAGGATTAATAAATACCCATTTAATTTTACATTAAATTTAATTACCATTTTTTTTTTCACCAAGACAGCACCCAATTTCCGTCGAATTATTTGTGGTATTGTATAGACTGGGAAGTTCCGGAGAAGGGACCAGTGTGGTGAAAATTGATGGTGGGACAGTAAAAATGATGACCAAGTGAGTGTATAGTGCCTTGATAGAGAAAGTGAGAAGGAATGTCAAACTTAGTAAAAGAAATATTTCAAGAATTTCGCAGATGCTTATTACTCACGACCACAAAGATTTGTTATTAATGCCCAGATTGTTTGCGACTGGAGATTGAAGGTCCGCTACTTTGTAGTTGGCTATCCAGCTAGTGTAAAAGTATTCCAGGGAAATAGTTTTATGGACCTTATACTACATGTTAATAATTAAAATTAGTTAAAATAACATATAATGAGACTATTTTCTTGAATCATATTTATTTGTTTTTAGTCCATTACTAAAAGAAAAAAAAACAATTTGGTTGATGTGTCTATGTTTTAAAATGGTTTTACTTTTGAATGAAAAATGTATGTTCATACTAATGTATACACATTTGGATGAATATTTTAAAATAAACAGTATAAAACATAACTTGATCCTATGGTTATTTATCACCTATGATATACAGTTGATTAACACTACCATTAATTAAAAGTTGTATTAATATGTTTTAAGTTATTAATGATAGGAGTCATTAACATGGAAAGGGTAGTAAGTCATGAAAAGATTATTTTTTTTTAACTCTTAATCTTTTGTTCATTATTTAGTTGTTATTCTGCTCCTATTTATTTTTAATTTAGTGTATATAATGTGGATGTAGTTTTACCTCACTATAATTATTGTACAAGTGACAGAATATTATTTTACTCAATAAAAAAATTAAAAATAAATAAAAAAAGCCATTCATCGGAACTAAACTACTGCCAGTTTTGACTTATTCTTCTTTCTATACCATTAGCATGACTAATTTACTACCTTTTCTATGAAAATAATTTGTTTGACTTACTACTTTTTCCATGTCTACGCCTCATATTATAAATTTAATAGAAATTTCTGAGACTGGAAAAACAACTTCACTACTCTAAAAATAAATTTATTTATTCAAGAAATTTCGGCTGTCTGGCCATCAACTGTTGATTTGGAAGTGCTTAGGGAGCAAGTTCATAATTTATAACAACATTTTTGATCTATCATATGAGTTTAAATTTAACATGAGTTACTAGGACAGCTTCTCTTCACACTACCAAATCAACTGATGATGACCTGATAGCTGAAATGTCTTGAAAATAGAAAAATTGAAGTGGTGAAGTGTGTTGTTCAGGTTTTAGGAATTCATAATAAATTATAATGAAATTGTTATTGAATAGGTATATGTATGTATAATAAAGACCATGAGTAATAGGTGTACAAAAAATTGTTAAGGTATTTTTAATTAATTTATTTCATTGTTTATTATACTTATATTTTAACTTGAGCTTGTTTAGAGCCATTTCTTTTTCTAATTTTAATTCATTTAATTGAAAACTTTTATTTATCTCTTTCTCTTTGAGTCTTAATTGCTCTTTAGCAATTTTGCGTTCCGCATTGATTTTTTTCTTCCATCAGCTTTAATTTTATCTCCTCCATTATTCTAATTAATTCCAGTTTCTCCCTTAAATAAGCTGTTTTATCTTTTTTAACCTAAATATATTTAAAATGAAATGACTGCTGATTGTCAATCATAATTGACAGGTGCGGATAGATATATGTAAGTCCAAAAAAAAAAAAAAAAAATGAAATGAAAATAATTTGATTATCTTGGGATTAAAATCCCTTTAGGACAAATTATAAAAACAGAATAATAGAGTCAATGTGGCCATACATTTGCAAATTAATAGGTAATTAAAAATAAAAATACAGTGAGAGATAGAAAAAAGAAAGGAAAGCTTACACGCATATAAAACAAACATATAAAAATAAAATAATATACTTACCTACTTCCAGTAGTATGTTTTTCAATGTCACTTAATATATATATATATATATATGGTGTCTTGTTTGTGTATTTATGGACCAAAAATAAATAATAATAAAATTATATAGTAGAGATATGTTAGAATTTATAGACTTTTTATTTGGATTTTGACAAGTTCTCAGAGTAATATTATTCATATTGCTTTTGTGACTTGTTATAGATAACTTAAAAATGAGCAAAGTAATATTCAAAACGTTATAAAGTGAATAAATATTTAAATTATAAGGGCTTATCTATCCTTGAATAGATTGTATTTAAAATAATATAAGTAACCAAAATAATTTCTAGGGTTACTTTAAGAGTTCTCTTACTTACATTTTATGATCAATTGGATTGGGAATGAAATAGGTGCTTAAATAGGAGAGATTAGAAAGAGGAAACTGATGCTGTGTGTTAAAATATTGGAAGGAATAGAATTCCAGAGAGAGAATAGCAAGTTATGAACTTGAATTTTCTCTTAATTTTATAGTTTGATGTGTAAGAGAAGAGGAGAAACAAAAAAGGCAGTAATTCATTGATTAAAATGATAAATAGAGAAACATTTTCATATATTCATTAGTAAATTCAATGAGGTATAAGAATTTTGAAATTTTTACCTGAGTTAGATAGGATGTAGAACTTTTTGCGTGAAGTCTGGTTCTTTTTTTTATTTTGTAAGACTGCAGGGATATGGAGACAGATAATCTGTCACAAAATGTACATCTTCAACTGGATTTAAAAATATAATTCCCTCCTCGAGTGGCTGTTCTTCTATCGTAGTTTTTGAAGTACTTGGGATTCTATATACACCCCGAACTGCAGCTTGTGAAGTACTTGGGATACTACGAAGGTGGTCTGAAAAGTTTCCGATCTAACAAAAATAAAAGAAATTTTTTCTGAATTTTTTTTTTTAATTTTTCAACAGTCTCCTTAAAACTCTACACACTTCTCTCAGCGATGCTCCCACCTCTGTAACCTGTCCAAAAAGTTCTCGGTGTTTTTCTCTGCAAAATAATTGTTCACCAAGGTGATTGCCTCTTCATTTGACGAAAATCTCTGTCCTCCAAGTTCAATTTTTATATAAGGGAACAAAAAGAAGTCGCTTGGGGCTAGATCTGGTGAGTAAGGCGGATGGTCAAGCAGTTCAAACCATAATTCATGGATTTTCTCCTTGGCAACCGCTGAGGTGTGAGACGGTGCATTGTCTTGGTGAAATAGGATTTTATTTTTCTGCAAATGTGGCCATTTTTCCACAAGTTCTGCTCTCAGCTTGTCAAGTAATAATGCGTAGTATGCTTCTGATAAGGTTTTTTCTTTTTGAAGATAGTTGATTAAAATAACTCCAAGACTATCCCAAAAAACAGTCACCATCACTTTCCCAGCCAAGAAAACAGTTTTTGCTTTTTTTGGAGCCGGTTCCCCCTTTGCAGTCCACTGTTTGGACTGTATTTTTGTTTCGGGCGTATAATGGTATATCCAAGTTTCATCTACAGTAATTAATTGGTGCCAAAACTCAGATTTATTGTGCCCACAGATTCATTTGAACACATTTTTGGTCTAACGTGAGGAAACGTGGCATCCAACATGTGGACAGCTTTCTCATATCTATATGTTGATTTAATATGTAACAAATATGTTCCTTTGACATGTTCATAACCTCTGCTCATGTTCATCTCTCTCACTTTAATTCGTCTAGCACCATTTGGTGAACTTTGTTGATGTTTTTGTCGGTAGTTGCAATTTTGGACGTCCCGAATGTTCATTGTCTCCCACGCTCTTACTCTTCCTCTTAGTTTAAATTCAGCTACCCAAAATTTTCACTGTGGTAAATGATGGTGCTAAGTCCCCATACATAGAATCCAACTCATCTTTGATATGCGTAGGCGTATTGCCTTTCAAAAACAAATATTTAATGACAGCTGGATACTCGATTTTGTCCATTTTCTCAAAAACCTACTCCAGCAACTGTAATATGAACTAATGTAATAAACCTAAATTTATAAAGAATTGAAGAAATAAAATTACTCACCTCAAACTTAATCGAATTTTCTCTTATTACGGATAAAAGGAGATCTTTGTCCACTGTTTTCCAGATTCTTTCTTCACTGTCTCTCATCCTTTTCTTAAAACGGTCTTTACATTCCATTTCGGTGGATATTGCACACAAAGAACAAAGAAACAAACATATCAAAACCTTACAATAACCTTCTCTGTTCATTTACAAAGTTAGCACCACTTTACAGGACCTCGGCTGTGTTAAAATTGAGAGTGATAATATATTATATATATTATTAGAGTAATAATATATATTTAATCACATTTCATGTATAATTTTCTCTACTTTACACATAGTTAGTACAATACTTAGTAGCACTGGTTGCATAGATGTACTAACAATATACTAATTTGCATGAGATACAAACTTATGCTGTTTTATTTTTGCTTGGATTTTTAGGTTGTTATATACCTACCAATCGATTCAATTTTTTGTCCAGGATAAGAAAAAAATGTTGACTATGGTACTAGTTGTCATAATGTATCATAAATTATTAAAATCAAAAGTTGATTCCAGTGAATTGGGGCTTTTTAACTCTGGTATTAATCCCCCACTCACTCCCTTGGCCTGGGAAAACTCAGGTAGCTTAAAAGAAAAAAGCTAATTAAATTATATTTAAAGCTTATTATTTTATTTTTTTTTTTTACACCTCTTCCTTGCCTTTTAGCCTATATAAAGCCCAGCTTTCCTGGGCTGGGGAGAGAGGGTGGGTGATTAATGCCAGAGATAAAAGGCCTAAAATGAATGAAATTGCCGGACAACAGCGGTGCTGTGTACTCATGTTAGCCTGCTCAGCCACTCTCCCCTCCCCTTTTAAAGCTTATCTTAAAATTTATTGTACAAAATAATTCATATTGCCTCCTCCTCTCTCATTCATAGGAACCTAATGAACAACATACAATATGTATCCCATGACAATGCTGTTATTAATGTGTTCCTACAAACCCTTTACCTTGCATTATCTCAAAAAAAGTGCATTCCAAATTCCTGGCTCATTCCAAACAGTCTAAGTAGTGACTGCAATTGAGTATGCCAAAATCATGTCCTGCAATTTATCTTCAGATTCTTGTCAGGGACCTCTTACTAATAGGGAACTGCATATCGGCACCTAAGAATGTTGCAGGTTTAGGGTGAAGGGGTACGGATCCCATTTTCCGTCTAACTTCTATAGCTCAACCGTCAATCATTCTGAAGTGACTGGTTTAAAGTTCAATCATCTGGAAGCTGATACAAGATTGTTCTTTTATATGTTCCACCCTGTGAAATTTGAAACATCAGAAAGTCTCATTCTGAGCCCCGATTGAGATATTTTCATACTAGAAATTTATTGTGGGCGTCAACTTTCAAAAATTGTTTACCTTGGCTTATAGTTCCAAGGTTGCAAAAAGAAGATGCTATTTTTAACTTGTTATTTGGTAACTAATATCAAATATAAGAACCAATGCTACCAGCATCACATACTTTATAGGCTCTGATACTTCCAGTCATATTTGCACGAAAAAACTGTTATTATCCATTTTACCTTTGAATTTTGACCAACAAGCACTTTCAATAATGGATAAATTTGAATATATCTAGTTTCGAAACAAAGAACAACTGATTATCACAAAATATTGGACTCTATATGAATTTATCTAGAATTATTTGTTCTTTTGATTATTTGCCTCCATTGCCAAAGGGCGACAGCTCTGTATTTTATGTAGAAGAACTCTTGGTCACCCTTGATTGAGGCAATTGATGTTGAAACATTTATCTGGGAAATATAATATAACTACAATTATCCAAAAATGAAAACCAAAGGAAACCACCTACCCTCTACAATGACTGAGCTTTGTAAATGCAAATCAAAGTACCGAACAATGAACTGCTATTGCAAAAAGATCAATTTATTTTTAATTTTACCGGTACCCTTTTCATTACCCTTTTTAAGCAAGAGAGGAGCTTATATTTGATACAAAATCGATTTTTAGCCTTAATGAAATAATATATTTAGGGATATTTAAATTAATAAGTTAGATTAGCCTGAGTTGTTATTCAGCGATGAAACATTTGAATGATATTATTTTTATATTATCATATTACTTTTTTTTTTTACTTCAGGTTGGACAGCAGAGGATTATGCACAGTTTGGAAATCACCATGACCTTGTCGAACTTTTGAAAATTCAAAAGAAAATTGAAGTAGTCTTAGATCATTCTGATAAACTTAGTGTTCAGTCTTCTGATCCTTCTGAAACATTTGAAGTAAGTTTAATTTATAACGTTTAGATTTAATAACTGAAAGAACTGTAATGAATGATGGTGCGAAGCTATTTTTTTTTTTTTTTTTTTTCCAACTAGTTATTCTCTTGTCTGAAATTAAAGTACTTGAAATATATTATATATTTAATGAAAATACAAAAGAATCATGATGCCTACTCTAATGAGGTCCAATATTTATTGAATTTTTATGCTTCTTACAGGGTGTTCCTGGTCAAAGTAATACTGGTGATGAGCTGCCTGACTCTCCTAGATCATGCATTACACCACCACCACTTGAGCCTCCAAGGAGTTGGGATCTCATTCAGTCTGGTGTTATTGACCAGGTACAGTTAGCATGTATCGCTCGCTATAACTGGTCAGATTTCTTTGTTGTTAATTATCATATCAGCAAATTATTTAGCTTATAGTTTGATTTGTCATAAACTAGTGTTGGGAAATGAAGGTGTAGTTAAATTTTTCAACTTCTAAATAAATATGCTTAATTGAACTTATTTCAACAAATAAAATTAACTTCTTATTTATTTTTATTCACTCTAGACTAAATGAACTATTATAATATAATTGATAGCTATTATAATATCAATCCTTCTCTTCTGCCACTGTACAGTGTGAAGATAAAGGATGAAGGACATTTAAGGAATTCTTGGCAGTGGGATAAGATTAGCTATGACATTTTTAAGTAGGGAGATGAGGGATTTGATCTCGGAGAGAAATGATTTAAGGAGGGTGGTAAGGTCATTGGAATTGCTAGGGGGAGGAATGTAGGAGATTTGGTGAGGACTGGACTTTTGGGTATTCTTATATTGGGGTGGTGGATCCTGGGTTTGTGGCAGGGCCTGAGATTGATTGGTCGGTTCTATCTCTCCTAGCACTTCAGCATAGGAGACTTTGTTGCTCACACGTCGTGTGGGTTGCCTTGGTGGTCTGGAAGTCCTGGAGGTCTCTTCCTGTTTAGGTGCTGCCTGTGTTCTTGACTTCAAGGTTTTATAAGTTTGGCATCCCTTGTAGTTTGCCAGGTGATTTAGATGGCATAGTGCGCACACAGCTGGAGTTTACCTAGACTTAGTGCATTCCTCAGATCTGTGTTGCTGTCCCCACTTCACATATCGAGGTAAGGGGTGACAATAACTTCTAATGTGGCCATAAGATTGACTGTTATGGCATTGTACTATTTCACTTTTTGCGTATGTTTTTTCAACCACTATACTGGTATAGTACATACGGGTTAGATTATAAATGTTTTCTACACATGGAGTGCGTTCCAGGTCTACAAAAAAAAGTGGTAACGCTATTTTGTTACTTGTACCTGCTTGCTCTTTATTTCCTTTATAGACGTTTACGATTTGGCGGACATTGAAACCTAAAGCCATCAATTCTTCTTTTATTTCATTGGGTGGAGTTGAAAGGTGGAGGCCTCTTATCACTACTCTTAGTGCTCTCTCTTCGTATAGAAGGTACGTGTGAAATTCAGACTTTGACTCTGATAAGTATTTGATAATTTTTTTATATGTTTCTGGAGAATCCGGGATTAATTTGGTGTCATTGATTCTACTGTGGCATACATATTTACTGTTTTCAATTATTTTATTAAGGTGCTGGCAGAATAATAGAAAATTTTTAATATTTCTGACAAATATCGGAGGTGGTTTTGACTCTCTGGGAGTTGGTACTGCTTCCATTGTTTCTTTTGACGGTAGTAGTTGGTATGGATTGGGGATGAAAAATGGAGATTCATCTGTTGTTTGGGTCAAATAACCAGGTTGCGGATCATTATTGATTTCAGGTGTTGATGGAGGTGTTTTTCTATTGGAACACCTTGGCCTTTGTTTTACAGGAGAGTTATTAGAACTATTATTACCTAAGCTTCTCGATCTTTTAACTTTGCTCGACATTATCATGTGATAATATCGCTTTTATGAAGATCTGACTGAAAAAATAATTTAAATAGTCTGATGTGTATATAAAAAATTTCCGATCCCTCTGAAACAATAAAAAATGAGATCAGTGTTATATCGGACCAATGTACTAACGGAACAATACTCTGAGTTACCTTGACCTTTTTCTACCTGTGGTATTTGAAGGTGCGTTGAATGATTTTGGAAAGATATCTCTTCCTGTCCACTTCAGGTCTTGTTTAGGTGTTTGGAGTTGAGGGTCCTCCGCTCGTTTAATGATAAATATATAAAATAAAATAAAAATTAAACATAAAAGATAAAATAAAGGGGTAGGAATAGGGATGGGGAGGGGAGGACAGGCCGTGAGGCGGGTTAAATGATTATGTTGATAGGGTTTATTGGACCCTTACGGCCTTGCCATCTGGCAGGGAGGGGGGCTGGGGTGATGGATCGGAATAATGGGTTAAAGGATGCGGGGAGGTTGTCGAAGAACTTGATATGTCTTCTTGATATGTGTTGCCGAACAAAGTCGAGTTGTAGTTCGTTATGGATGTGTTTCATGTTTCGTCTTTCTAATGTTGTCCCTTTGCATTAATGTAGTACCTTGAACCATTGTAATAGGTCCATTTTCATTTAATTCTACCATGCTATTGTTATCTATTTTCTGGTGAATCTTCAAATTTTCATCCTGAATCAGTCTGAACTTTTTTATTGCGTCCAGACCTAACAACAAATCAAAATTAAATTTATTATTTTTAATAACAATCAAGTCTAACCTTTCTTCAATACAACCTATTTTTAAATATAACTGAGCCCGGCGTTCACTAAAGTCCACACCACTTACTGTTTGCAAAACTGTTTTATTTTTATGCAGTTTAGTCTTCAATAGTTTAACAATACGTTCATTGATAAGAGAACAAGTGGAGCCATTATCATACACAGCTGTTACCAGTTTCTTTTTATCTACTAAAACTTTTATTTTTATCAATGAACATGGTGTGGTTGAGCCCGGGCCACTTATTCGTTTTTTTGTCTCATCATCATTAATTTCAAGTCGACATAATTCGGCTTCAGTGTCTTCTACTATATCATGCAAATTAATTTGTTGTTTAGACTGCATTCCTTTGTTTCTGCAAAGTTGAATCGGATGATAACGATTTTTAAAACCCATTGATGTACATATTGGACATGGGCTTCTTCCTGCATCGTACGATTTAACTACCGAACCTTTTCTAGCCTCTAATTTCTTTTTCTCCTCCTCCGATTTTGATTCTAATTTTTTTCGACCACTATATCCATTATCAAATAATTTTACTGCTTCTATTAAATCATCAATTGTTTTTATTTTATCCCGGTGTAATTTATCTTGAATCTCCAAAGGCAAATTGCAAACAATCTGGTAAACTCTGTAAAGTTCTGGAATATCTTTATCTGCCTCAAGTAGTAATCTTTCTTTTTTTATAATAAACTCAACCAACGACCCAAACATGTATTTATAGTTAAATGCAAGACGTATGTTTGTCCAACCCTTTTTACTATAGACTAATAGAAAAGACTGTTTCCAACTTTCCCAATCTGTTAATGACAACTTAAGCGTATTAGAAATATACCACTCGTTAGAATTGCCTTCCAACAATAATTTCAATGCCTCTATTTTTTTTTAATCATTCGTGATTTTATATCGCATACACTCCTTCTCAAAAACTTCTATCCAACTTAATGGATCTTGCTTTCCATTAAATTTTGTTATAACAATTTTTTTTTCTACATCAACTAAACTAACATCATTAACAGCTGATAAGCGATTTTCTAACTCTTTTATTTTATTTATTAGAAATTTTTCACTATTTTCCTCACCTCTAGATGACTCCACATTAGTTGTAACCTCTTCAAGATAATGCTTGTTCACACAAAAATTACCTTCTTCATCCATATATTTAGATTTTAAATTTTCATTTAATTTAATACAAATTTTTCTGAAGCCTCCTACTTTTGAAATAGATTTTATACAACTAGCAATACTTTTTAAACTTAATAATTCTTTGTGATCATTTAAATTTTTTAATGTATCAGGTAAAGCATACCATGCAGTTTTATCCACTGATAATGCCACTAAATCGTATTCATCTTCACTTTGTTTAATAATATGGCAATACAAATGTGTAGCCATCTTCTTGAAACTTTAATTCAATTTGTAAGATTGTGATGTAAGGGTTATCAGACTTCAAACGATTCTTTAACTCACTAAAAGAATTAATTTATTTACAATTAATTTATAAATGATAAGTGTGATATAAACAAATAAAAGAAAATACAAAACAAAGTATTATTACCTAAAAGAATTGAATTAAAGTCCTTATCTTAGGGTCCTTTAGCACTTTACAATCATTAACCCAACTTTAAAACCAATACACAAATATTGTAACCTTCTCATATTCTAAAATAGCACCATGGCTCACTAAATATTAGACAACATATTTACACATGTTTCACACCATTTAGAGTTTTTATTTAATGCTTGAAATGAGGTACTCACTAATACAGTAGAGAAAGTTTAATTCTATTTTACTTAAATTTGGTTCCCAGACAGGTAGGTCTACGATTCCGGTAGGAGGTTGCTTAAACCTATCTGGCGTTCCTTTTTTTTTTTTTATCAAATCTATAAAATTGACAAAATCCTTTCTGTCATCGATTTCATAATTTCCTGAACTAATATCTTTCATATATTGAGAAATCATAATAAGTTTTAAATTTGCTTTAAATTGCAAATTATTTCTGACTATTTGCCTTGCCCTAACTAAACTAAAAAGATTTTCTAAGCTATCTTGGGAAAACCGCCCAGTTAGAACAAAGGTATATAGTTCTGGTCATTCAACAAATACTCTTGAATATTCATTATAGATCTAGAGGGTATTAACACTCCTTTTTGACAGGGCTTACACGTTTTTTTTAAAGCCTATGTCAATATTTATATATAAATCGATGAAATCATTTAAAAATTTGATTGCCGCTTTATAAGCATCTTCTTCGTATTTGCTTAGTGCAAAAACTACATGGCGAGACGTCATAAGTTTAAACCACTTCTCCACCGTGTCCAAAAACCATGCAGTTGTCAGGTATTTCTGTTTTTTTTAATTCATCGGCCAAAAACTTGAGACCACTGCTAACTGAATGGTTTATAATATGTGCTGCTGAAGCATTTTTCATTGATTGAAAATAGGAAGGGGCCAAATCTTCCTCATACAATTTGGGGGCTAATTTGAAATTTTTCTTGGCAATTGAATAGTTCTTTAAAATGAGTTGCTTCCACAAGATTATGTTGAAAATTATTTTGTTGTAAAATGTATTCAGAGATTTCTATAACTTTATTGTTTAAAAGTGACATTATAATATTTTTGAATAAATGACCAGGATCTGCTATAATGAAA